TACTACTAATAATAATAATAATAAAGAGTTGGTATTTTTTCCAACTTGACTGAGAACAAAAATTTAAATTAGACAAAGCTATACAAACCACATGTCAATTTGAGTTGAATACTCTGAAGATCCAAGAAGAACGTCAGGTGGTCTGTACCATAACGTGACAACTTCATTGGAATAGGTCTTTGTAGGAACAGACTTTGCTCTAGCCAGCCCTTGATAAAAGGGGAAAATAAGAGTCATGTGCAGCTTGATGAAACCTTGTTTTCGTATGAAATTTGTAAAGAATTTTTAAGAGCTAGATCAGCCTTATTATACTTGCTAAATACCTTTCTTGAAGGTTGACTAAAAAGCCCTAATAAACACATTTCTCCAACTTGTGATTTGCCTCTTAATATTTACAGCAATCTCATGATCAGCATTTTTAAGCACAGAAGACAAGCAAACATATAAAAAACTGGAGTAACTCTATAAATTTGATCAAAACAACATTAGCTCAGTATGACACCTCCACCCTGTGGAAACCCTTCTGCGCCGTTTCCATTTGAGAATTAAGTTGCAAAAGGCAGAAAGCAACAGATGAATAATGAAACAGTGGCAATGGACCAAACTGGGTGTCGGATCAGCAAGGAGTTTTCCGTCCTAACACTGCCAGACACTGTCACTAATATCAATAAAATTTAGGTGTATCATTATTCTGATCAACTTTCATTCACACACATGGGGAAAAAACAGTGGGAGCAAAACTTTCAAAGGATCTTCCTGATATAAAAGGTAACAGGAAACTGAATGCCTCACTCTACTGGAAAACCCAGTGGAACTTGGTGTATCAGTGACAGAGTAACACCTGACAACTCAGGACATGGATAGACCCTTCCTCCTGTCATGGTTACTCTGTTCTGGAGTGACAGGAAAAGCAACTTGAGCTCCACCTTAAGGAAATGACAAAGTGTCTATTTCAAAAGCAGCTGTAAGACTACTTTCAAACCACAAGTCAAGCCACAGGATCACCTATACACATATTACTTTGATTACTAGTATGTCCCATAGAAGTCTGACTTTCATTTTCCACCTGAGAATGCACAAATTCAATACAGACCCGATGGTCTCATCTTCCCTTTCTAAGGAAAAATGCCTCTTTTGCCAAGTGAAGAAAATGTTTGTTACAGAGTAATTTCAGGCCATACCAAAGTCTGCAAGCTTCAGTTCTCCTTTCTCATTAATTAGTAGATTTTGTGGCTTCAGATCTCGATGTAATACCTTTCTCCTGTGACAGTATGCCAAACCACGAAGAATCTGGTATAAAAATAGCTACAAAAGACAACATTTATATAAATTAGACTAAAGATATTAATCTACAGATTACAAGACTAAAACGTCACTGTAGATTTAAGCCTCTGTATTGTAAACAGGACAAAAATATCTCTCAAAAAATATGTTATTTTTCCATATGAACACACTCTGAACATCATTATTGTTTACAGATTTTAAATCCCTTTACGTAATGCACTGCTTTAACACCATGCTTTACAACAAAGACTTTAAAAGCAATTTGTTCTGCTTAACTGAAGAGAACCACAGGGTTGTTTATTTTTAAGTAAGCATATACCAGTGCTCTTCCCCACACTAATGTCTTTAAACACAATGATCTCTGACTAGACTCAAGTTCCTTTCTACCACAGAATCCCTTCCATAAATGCAGCTCTGCATCCTTTCTATCCAATTGTGCCAAAGTACGTAGAGAACATTTTGGCATGCTAGTGGAAGAATACACTTGGATTCATAAGCTCACAAAACATGCAGAAATGGGGAAATGACGATAACTAAAGCAGCCCAACTGCCTCTGGTATTTATACTCATCCCCTCACCTTGACACACAGGTTTATTTTGGTCTTTTGGAACAGTAAGCCAAGCAAGCAACTTCAGTCATGCATATTAATGCTGCACGTATATAGATGCAGAATTAGAAAGGGATGAAGAAAGGTTTAGAAGAGGGCAGCCAAACAAATTTACTGTGTCAGTTTCTGTATAAAGGGTTTGATTTTAAACATGGGACTTTTGAGTAGCCAGTGCTACCCAGTTTACCACCCACTCCTCAGCCAGTATAGACTATCAAATGTACAATGAAAAAACACAGACCATTACAGAAAGCAGTGATTACTGATGGGACAAATCCAGTATGTAATAGGACTTTTAAGAATAAACACTAGAATGTTGTTATATGACCATTTTCTAACATATCAGTTTATTTTTGTACCAAATGACACCACCAAATTCTTCTTCCTAAACTGGAAAAATACACAGCAGGTGTAATTTACATCCATCTGTTCTGAGTCTGCTTACGTGGGACTTATCTGTTCTGGCAAAGAAAAAGGAATTTGGATTGATATTTTTCTCTCTTTTCTTTTTTGAAGAGCAGAAGGTTCTTGGCAGGGGTGGTCAGTCCCACATACTATTAACAGGGCTGCTGTGGAAACTGACAGGGGCCTCTAGCGTGCACTGGGACTGGATTAGTTAGGAAGGCAAAGCAGATTATCTACAGAAATTGTGGATCTTCACCACAGTTGGCAGGGATCCTTTTAGAAAGGCACTAGCTCAATATTTTATTTGAAACTGTAAGATCCTGCAGAGATCACATATATCTTTACATTATACATGTTCATTTTGCTAAAACTCACAAAATTAAAATTAGCTGAGGAATGTGAGGGGAACGATGACAGGGAGGTCTCTCAAATGTTAATAATGACCCAAACCCCGACAGTTAATGTAAGGTAAGCACCACAGTTAGGCAGCTGTTCCAGTTTCCCAGTGCCAAAGGTACTGGCCATTATAAATCTGCTCTCAGGGCGGAGCTTAAACCACAGGCAAACACGGAAAAACAGTTCCTCTGCTTAGCCTGGATTAGTACAAGCAGATTCTGCTTGTTCTCTAACTGTACTTATTATAGGAGTCAGCTTCCCACTTCCAGCTTTTCTTCATAGTTTTTGAAGCTCAAAGCACTACTAATTAATTTGCAGTTAATTAAAAACACAAGTGTAATTATGCTTTTTGTTGTCTCTCTGAAGTAGAGGCACATTAAAGAATTTCTCTTTGCAGACTCTGAAAGGAAGCAACAGAGTAGGCTAAGGGCAGGTGTCCTTCCCTAAAGATAATTACTGTAATGTGACAACAGAATAAAAGAAAAAGCTAATCAAACAGTAACCAGTACCTAGCCTGAATCCTATATGCAACTCAGCTACGAAACAGATTTCTCAATGTGCAACCAAGCCAAAACCAAGGATGACGACTCTACTGGAAAGAGCACAAACCCAAACCCTGTCACTTCACTGCATTCAGTACACTGTGGTGCCAACCACATTTGTGCCATGTGCCACTGTACAAGAATAAAAATACTTTTCCTATCATTATTGCACACTCATGGTTTTATTCTTTAGGATCACAGCTTAAAGTTAATCTTTAAGTATGGAAGAGTTTCTCAAACACATCTACCATGCAAATAACACCCCTTATATGAATCATATATGGCTTAATGAAGAGGTTTTGAAGGTGCAGTCCAGCACAGGCTGCAAGACAGCAGGGTGACACTGGCAACCCAGTCTCCCTGGACAACTTCGCTCATTTCTAGATAGTATTGCCTCTGTTTGGAATGTTGTTTATAAAGTCATAAGTATTAAAGGACATAAAGAGTTATCCAAGTTTTCCAAACCAAAACCTGTTTGTTACCAGAGAGGTTAACACTTGAACCTGAGCGAGTTTGTTTTAGCAGGTTCGCTTGGAAACTGAGTCACTTGACCCAGCCACAGACACAGTTAAAAGGAACAGACAATTAAACCCTAAAGAAAACAATTTCCATCTTATTACTAATGGAAAGATGAACACCACTCGTTCTTAAATAACGCATTTTTAATTTCTTACATGTGTGTTTGGCAGTGGCATCCAGACCCACATTCATGACTGAGGGACACATCTTCCTCAGTGCATGTATGTCAACTTTAATTGAGGATATACCAAAAAACTACAGACTTCACTCAATAAATGAGTACAAAATAATGGAAGGGTAAGAAGAGGTCAAAGGAGTTATGAATGCATTCTTTTTTAGGAAATTTTAAATACATAACATTGAAGAAAATGAAAACAAAGTTATATAATCTCCTGTTCTCAGTGCATTAAACACTGAAAAGCCATCAAAAGCATGAAGAAAGACTCCATCTGATATAAAATGTAATTAAGTCAGCCCCCAAAGGTCAAAAAGCAAATTAAGTTTCTTAATTTTATTTTTTAAAAAAAGCCCTAAACCATATAGCTCCTGATTATTAAGTTCCCTGATATTTTTACAACAGAGGAAACTACAAGACGTGCCACTGTCATTAAAGCCACTCACCTTTACATTGTGCATACTCATGATGTTACCACAGTCATCCATGTACTGCTTCAGGTCCTTGTCCTGTCAAAACAGTCATCACTGTTCAGTAAAATCGCGGACAACAGATTACGTGAATATTATTTATTGTTACAAGTGAAATAATTCATCAGAATACTGAGTTTTCTGCAAAAGATATTTAATGACCAAAACCTAAAGGCCTGACTGAATATGCAGGAAACTATGGCTTTCCACAGTATGTATCTGTTTTCCAGCAAGCTGCATCATCTCAGAAAACATTATTTGTTACTGCTTTCTCCACCTTGTGCCTGCCACAGTGTTTTATGAAATTGCTACGTTCTCCAATTATATTGTAAGTAAAGAATTTTTCTTCACCCCTCTTATTAAACTTATATATTTCAGCATATTCTAAAAAAAATATCATCAGGTAAAGATTCGGTGAGAAAGTGAGAAGTCTACAACAGAAGAGGCAGGCAGGTGAGATATGCAATTGTGGACACTTGCTTGAAAAGGTTGTTACAAAAGATGGCATGCGTTGTCTGCTTCAAAGCACACTTCTTTCCTTAGCTACCTTACGAGAGTTGCATTGTAACAGGAAAGTATAATTTGAACAATAGTGTGATTAACCTTTTTTACAGTTAATGATTTTGGTACAAAGTAGACAGATCACCACCAACTACTACTCATGAAACTCTGAAATGATCAGAACGGTATTTACAGCAATAGAAAAGCTGAATACACTTTCTTAATTTTCAGCATGATTCTAGATGCAGGAGAAAACTAACAGTCGCAGTATTTTTAAAAAGGGTACAGAATTTTGCTATGTCTGTGTTACTTAGAAACAACAAATCAAATTTAAAGCTTGCTAGTTGTTTGAGCACTTACCAGATATTCGAAAACAAGAGTCAAAGACTTGTCTGTGTGCACAATATCATGTAACGTAACAATATTTGCATGCTTCAGATCTTTTAATAATGACACTGCAAAAGAATTATAAAGTATAAAATAAATATATGCAAAACACAAGCACGAAATGCATTTCTAGCAAGTTCCTATAACCTACATACGAGCTTTTTTTAAAATTAAAAAGCTATTTTTAAGAACATAATATTCACATAGATTAGGTTAATAAGAATGGTATTTAACCAAAACACTAAACAGATACTTGAGTAAAAGTAAATATTTCCTGAACTACAGAGGCAGAATTAGTAATTTCTTAAACAATATTCTGAATCCTTCAAAGTCACTCACTAACAATAGTGTAATTGAGTATAAAATCATCTATTTACAATACTGCATATGAAAACACAATCACCAGTTTGTGTATGTAAATAAATTTGAAACACCGACTCTTAATATGTCTAAAGTTCTCCTCATCAAAACTAATATTCATTTAATTAATCTCCCATGTAGCCTATGCACTTCAGAGTGTCAACAGTATTTTGGTCAAAAAGAAATCCAGAAATGTCTGAAATTCTAAGAAGTAAGAAAAATGTTATCACCTTCTCTTATGGCTGTACATGGTGCTCCCTCTTCATGTTCCAGACGGATTTCTTTCAGAGCTACCAGGTTCTCTGTCAATTTACTTCTCCCCTTATAAACTGTTGCATAAGTACCCTACAAAAATGGAAAAAAAGAAAACTCTTACGAACTGTTCCTTCATTGAAAGGAGAGTTAAAGAAGAAAACAAACTTCTATCTAAGGTTCTAACAGGTTTCATTTTGGATATGAATAGTTTTTACATTGTCTTCTTTTGATATATGTGAAAATACAGAAATATTTTTAAGCACGGGCTGAATGCACAGAAGACACAAGGGATGCGTGTGCTTAACAACTCCGAAAATTCCGTGGAAAGCTATACACCACGCGGCTACCAAAGAAGTCAGGTCAGGTAGCGTTAAGTTCACCAAGTTCACTCCTGGGATCATTTACCCTCTTTTAAAGTCTCTACTTGATTAAATCCAGCTCAGGTATCTACACTACATCACGGTTATGTTTCTGAAGGCTGCTCAAATACTCTTCCACTACTTGTATGAAAATATGTAACTCCTTGTGATAGCTTCTTGTCTGTTACATGAGAATTTTTTCTTGGGGGGTAGGGGGAGGAGTTGTCAAAGCTTCATTTTGGTTGACTCAGTGAACACTGAATATTATGAATCTTTTTTTTTTTTTTTGTTTAGACAGTAAGAGATTCAAAACTCTCAAGGCACGTTACATAAGGACAAAAAGTTCTGAAAAAACAGCAAGTAAGTACAACTAATCCCAGCCAACTGCAAAAAGCAAGCACCAAAGTCACAGAAATTGCCCTAGGTTACAGGACATACCTAGTTGTCTACTACGCTTCGTAAGCAAATGAGATAAGGTACACCTGCAACAATGACTTGATAGCTACTAGATAAACATTCCTTCAAAGATACATAATGTTACGTCACTTCTAGTTATCCACCTAACAAGTAATAGAGGAAAACAACAAATAAATGTGTTTGGAAATTAAAACGTTGCAAATGGAGTCTGGCTGCAACATTCACAGCAGAGATGCTGACCAGCCCTGCTTTCTTCTGCAGTGTTCAGTGTGTCCCATTCCAGTGCTCCTTGTCTATTTTTGATTCTATTGGCCAACCTCAATTCAATTGGCCAGGACTGACACCTGGCCCCTCTGGAATGTTACTGTGAGTGGAAGTAGAAAGTTGTATTGTTGCTCATAGGAAAGGCAAGCTCATGTCACATACTTCACTTGGAAGCTCCCATGCAGGCTTCTCTACCAGAATAGGCACAGCCACTGCCTGTTCGCTGCAAGTGCCAGCTTCTTACCCAGCATGAGCGCTCCCTAACACCCAATTCACAGCAGGAGGATGCCAGACTTAACCAGTTTTATTACTGACAGAATAATTTCATATATCTGCACACAAAGCCAGCCTACATAAGAAGGTCACAGATTACTTGTCTTACTCTTCCCCAGCTCACTGGTGGCTTTCCTGCCTCTTTTTTTTTTTTTTTGTTTATTATATACGCATAGAACATTTGTGTAGTTGTGACGTTGTTACAGATGATGAATATGCTTGGTTTACTCAAAAGACAAACTCCATGAGTATTTTGAGCGATACAGAGATTTTCAGTTAACATTTACGTAAAATTTTACCTAGGACAGCGTTATCAAAGCAGCAATCATTTCAAAAGAAAGCCATACAAACCTCTCCAAGCTTTTCTAACTTGATATAGGTTTCCATTTTTCCAAATCCAATTTCTGACTGCAATGAAAAGAAATGGAAAACCAATCACTAAAATGGAACATTTTATTTATCCATCATTTAAGCAGCAAGCTAAACTTTGTTTCCGAAAAATGGATGACAAAACTTGACCAAACACCACACAATTTTGCTATTTTAAAAACAATTTAGAATATTATGATATGAATGTGTCCCAGCATCCAAACCTAATTCTCAGCCTGTTGGCAAGTCTACTATGTATCATCAAAAGACTATGTACCAAGTTACACCAAGACACCACTTTACCTACCTTCTACTTAGGTCCTTTCTACTCTTTTGATCTGATTACTACTAATGAGGTTATTAGAGCTGAAATCACAGAAACTAAAACATCTCAAACTATTCCATCCTTCCTCTTGCTCTGCATAACCATATGCTGCTGCTTCTTTCCAAATAACTTCACTTACATGCTATGTTCAAGATCCGAGCTCCAGGTTTCCTCTCCCACTCTGACCTCTCAATGCTTTTCAGCTCTAAAATCCCTGAACATCATTCCTTCAAAAGCTTCAGTTCTGTCGCAACAATTTACATTTCGTGCCTCATAGCTTCAAGTCTTTGTGTATTTTGCCTGGATCTATTCACCCTCTTTTTCCATCACCAACTTAGCTCTGCAATGCCAGCCAGGAGGATCTGCCTGCCTATATAGCACCTTCTTCTGAAGACTGCAAGATCATTACTCTTTTCCTGTCCAAATCCTCTCTTACACTCGTACGTAACACAGTTATCTCCTAAGAGTTATTTTCATGTAAGACCACTGTCAATTACACCTAAGCTTTGTAGGGTTCTTACAGCTTAAAGAACAGTGAAAACAGATGTGTAAAACATCAACTTTTAAAATAGTTTACAAATTGTGTATAGCCTGTATCTCATCAAAACCCCAAATCCATAGGCTTCATGGGGTTTTGCTTTACTGACAGTTGAACATACACCAAGACAAAGAACCCCAGGCTTTGTCCCTTGTGTCACCTCCTCCCTCCACTTCCAAACATAGGTCTCCACTTGTTATTTCTTTCTAAGGAACAATTCTTTGGCCTTGGACTGGCTTCACAGCATCTATGTCCACGGGTCAGAATATGCTGATTTGCTCCTAAAATCTAGCAGATATCGATGTTGTTTATTATTTCACGATAACACAGTTTAATAAAAATACTGCTGACAGTATTGAGATTTAGCAACAAGATAATACGAAGGTATACCAAACCAAGTTGGATTAATATTCAATCTCCAGAACATGTGCATAAAAACCATCTGAATTAAGTGTAAGATTTTGCCTGCAAATGTATTTGACACATCTAAGAGAAAAAGAATAGACACATAATATAGTATTAAGAGGAAGTCTGCTTTATTAAAGTAGTGTTAGAATTGAAATGTTTTAAAACTGCATAGGGATACTTTAGCATCAAGCATGTTTAGGAGCTTGTTGAAGCCAAGTCCAAAATACATGCCAAGTTGGTATTTGACAACCCTTGTAACTCTGGTGAGATTTTAAACATACCACTGATACAGGTACAATGTTAGTAAAATAAATATTATGTTTCCAAAGTGCATTTTGACCTACTTAAACAAACCTATCTTAAAGTGAGTATTAGATAGTATTAGAATTAACAAGATAGGCTGCTTAGTTTACAGGAGAAACTAAAGGAGAGCTCATAGCCATTGGCCTTCTTACTGTCAGTCTGGAATATAGCTTAAAAGTCTGACTTCTAAGAAACCTTGATGTTGTTCATCAAGATTAATAAACTCAGTATCTTCTTTAGACAATAAAATCATACAGTATTTCCTACATACAGAGGACAGATTTCTTCAAGACCTGCCTTTCAAGGTGTTTAATTTTTTAATCACATTTTCATTGTCTACCACTTGTAAGAAAAACTAATTTTTACATTCCTCAAACTAAGATCAGTTTAATTTTTCCTTCAAAATATTTTCTGAACTATTTAATTTTTTTTCTGAAATACACATCTATTTTGACTTACACAGAAACACTAATGCACCATATTTATGGTCTCTTAATTCTATGGGTTGGTGCATAAGAATCACTGCTATGCTACTGTGCATGCAATACTATACTATGTATACAAAAGATACAATTACTGTGAAAGTTAATTTTTTTCTTGTATTTCAAAGAAAAACACCAGACCTTAAAAGTATAGCAAATCTTGATTTGATACTTTTTATAGCCTTTTTCATTTGATTCCTACTAAGCCTTGAAAAGAGACATGCCTTTGAAGCAGAGCACAATATTCACATATTGTAATTAACAGTCTGCTAGCAAGCTTTCAAAGACAATGCCAGAATAATGAGTCCTTGAATTTCTTTTCTCTAAAGGTTAGTTTGAAATCACAAAAGGACAATGCAGCAAATTCATGCCTGCATACCACAGCACTGCTGGTGGGTTTCATTTTGGAGGTTTAAGCCCTGAAAGCATTTTTAGAAGGCAGACCGAAGCAACCTTGTGACAGGAAGCTGATCCCATAGCCACACCGTATTCATTAGAGGGCACTGTTCTTCTGTCTGTCTTCGAGCAGGGAAGGAGGAGAGAACTTCAGCTGCTCTCAGGGCTCAACGTTAAATGAGTAAAGGGATTCTGATATACAGGAAAATCCTCCCCCAGTCCCCAAATACTATATTCTACTGAAAATGTTATTCACCAGTATCTGAAAAAGAGAAGGTCTGGGGAAGTCTATTCCTCAGTTCAGTGCTACGTCAGTAACTAAGTGGTTAATGAACTACCAAACTCTGGCACAAATAGTACAATGGCTTGCTACATTATTATTACTTCCAGTGCTTTGATCCAATAATTTATTTTTTTAATATTATTCCTGTAAAAGGTGATATGCAGATCAGAGCTTTAGTCTAGCACACCAAACTGTATTTTTTCAGGGGAAAAAACACTATAAAACTCAACCATTGATTTGTTATAAACATTATTAGTTCACAAAGAATAAAGTTATTTCACAATTAATAAAACTAATTCACTACACATACTTCATATTTATTTTTCAGCAAATAATCCATTAAATTGAGAAAACAGAGAACGAAGTGAATTTCATAAACCTATTCAGTTTTTCTCTTTAAAGAATTTTGTGCCCATGAATTTGCTCAGAAAGTCACTAATAGTCTAGCAACTCTAACACCCCAATTAACATCAAAGAAAGGTGACAGATCAAATTATGATTGAAATGTAGCAATTTTTGAACAAATAAGAGAACTATTAATTTTACCATTTTAGAGATATGCATATTTCACAGGAAAATCCAAGACTTCTAGCATTTCTACTCTATATTACAGTATAGGAATCCTCATTCTGCCATCTCCAGAGAAAAGACATTTTTTTTAAAATAACCCAATAATCTAAAAAGATATATTTGAATTTATTTGTTTGTTCTTCTAGGAATTCACATGACTATTTAAAAAAAAAAAAAGTATCTCAGCTGTAAATTTGAGAAAGATGATTTGTTAGCTTATCCAAGAAGAATAGTGAGGAAGACCTGCCTTTGTATTACGCTGGTTTAGGGCCTTCCTACTCTATCATGAGAGAGCCTCAGCCTCGATCGAAGATGATGGGGCCTATTTGCTGAAACAGATCATTAAAGCACGTGCTTTGGGAATTGAGGTTAGTCACCAATTTCAATGGGCCAAGACCTTCACTGAGAAATGATAGGGCCAAGCGTGCAGAAGAAAATTGAAAGGGTGAAATTCTTCAGTGGATTTTGACAGGTGCACACTGAAGTTCAGGACATAAAGGCCAAGGTGTAAATGAAGCTGAATCATACCTGTGGTATACAGACATCTGCCCTAAATGGAATCTGGAGACCCAAGAGGTTGATTTAGCAAGGCAGACGGATTACACTTACTAGAGATGCTCTACGAGAACGTCGACTCATTGGCTGATCGAACGGTGGGCTGTTAATCTGCAGCTTTTCAAGATAGCCATCAGGTATCCTGATGTCTGCCGGCAGGGACAAGCGCTTGTTCAAATCCTGCAGTGAATAACATTTAAAAAGAGAAGAGTCATGTATAATCCAGAATTTCCTAAAACGTGGAATCATACATCTTTTAACACCTGCAGTGTTACTGCTTTTACAGTGTTACTGTTTAAAATGGAAATATTTATATGAATGAAAAATAATATCACAAATTATTTTAGAAAGATATTCTCTTCTAAAAATACTTCAAATAGCTTAGATAACAGGTTAAAAAAATCAGTGCATTACAAACTTATTATTCTAACGAGAAAAATGAAATATTAAAAAGTAATTAATTACATTGTGGATAAACGTATTGAGATTATTTCAATACTTACCCATACCTGGACTACCAGAAACTGAGAATTCAAAGGCTAGTAAACACTTTTCATATCGTAATTATGATAGAATAACGAGAGATCTCTACAATTTAAAATATGTCATCCTCACTTTCTATGACTACTGAAAGTTATAAACTTGCTTCAGTTTTCATTTTTCCAGTTTTCAGCTTTCAGCAAACATGAAATTTTTTCTTTTTTTTTTTTTTTTTTTTTGCAACGGCACAGTCTTGTATCTTTTTTTTTTTTCTTTTTAGTTTGGATTTAATCTCAAGCATGGCAGAAAATGAAACATTAAATATTCTCTTAAAGCAGCCAGTCACCACCACAGACAGAAAAAGGCAACATACCCAGACTCAAAAAATATGGGAAGTAAC